TTAGAACACGTATTGTATTGTATGTGTGCAGGCAAGGATTTTATTGCTAAAAATATCACCTCTCCGGACGGCGTACTGTATATTAGGATTATTCCGCGGGCAGCACGTATACATGTGTCGATGTACCTAGCTGCGAACCGTCACAACGCGCCAAAGTACACAAACACACGACGTCTAGCATCACAGCACGCGGGGCGACGCTTCGGTCACATTCGCCTCGACTTGGTCGGGCCGCTACCACTGTCCGGCACTCCGGCGGATCTACTGACAGTTTTGTTGACCGATTCACGCGCTGGCCAGTCGTGGCCGATCGAGCATTATGTCGGCCTACGCAGTCGCGCAGTTTTTAACAACAAACTAGATGTCTGGATAGCACGGTTCGGCGTGCCCGACTACGTCATCATCATCGACCAACGCCGACATTTCGAGCAGGATATGTGCAAATCACTTTTAATCACCTTCGGCACTCGTCACATTCGAACATCGACGTAGCACCCTCAGTCGAACCGGATGGTAGAACGTTTTCACCGCACGCTCAATTCTGCGCTCATCACCGCACACACGAATCGCCACAGTTGTCTATCGTACTACTCGCGTTGAGCAACACAGTCGTCAGTCACACACGTTCAAAGCGGACATCGAACGAGCTCATCCGGGCGGTTGGTATACGACTCACGGGTGAGTAATTTCACCCCGTTCAACTGAGCTGGTAGCTGATAGCTCCGATACACCCCATGCGYCGTGWAACACGATACTCAACGCACTCACTCATCGTGCTCATCGATCTGAGCCGGCCGGTCAGTCATGTTTTTGTCGTGATCGACGCGGTCAGACTCGCTCCACTCGAACGCCGCGGGAGAAGACGTTTATAAGGTGCAACGCGACCTATATCCATGGTGGGGATTTCCATCGATCGACTCAAACCAGCATTCATCGCACGGTATATAGGATCCACGTACGCTGTCCAAATCAACTCAAATAGTCCTGCTCTTCTTTAAGGGTGCGCGATTATCACCGCACTTACCTATACAGCATCAACCACGAATTTCGCACCGTCCTTYTTGTTGTTGAATTCGTTCTACAGACCGACGTACCTGTTCTCGCTAACAGTCGTGAAATTTGTTTATGTTCTTTGCAACAATCGACCGATTTCGCGTTCGTCGGGACGTTTTCGACTGTTGCACGAACGGCACACGGCGCTTTCTCTTTCGCCGCGCCGACCTCGCTCAAGCACGTAATATTCACGCCGTTCGCCCTAGCCTTTACGTGCATCATTGACTTCGTATTCGTATTTTTGACAACCCAATAGCTTAAGTTTTTACTCACGAAACGTCCGATCGTCCGTGCAATTTTTGTTGATCCACTCACTCACATGTGCACCTAACGATCTGCGTTCTCAATCAGTACCTATAGCTACTCA